AGCTGCTCTAGCCTCACTTTATTCCATCTATCAAACCACCAAAGCTTTCCTTGTCGTCCTAACCCCACTTCCTCCTCCCACGTTCCGCCTTCTAATCTCTCAACCAAGAAGATTATACCACCGACTCACCAAGATGCAACTCTTCTCGGCCGCTATCCCGTTTTCACGTCCCTTCACCACTACCCCAAATCCCATCAACTTCAATTGAATATATAAGTTAATCTGAGGAAACCAGTATTACACACAGGGGGTAACAGAGTGAAGCCAATAACCATCAAAATACTAAATATTTGGCTTTGGCATCTACAAACTACCTTCAGAGAAATTATTTATAACCTCCAGCTACTTCCAAGGAGCGGCTCAGCCTGACTTATAAAGAAAACATATATCGCACGGAAGATAAACTCACAAACCATCGTTCGACGAGCGGAGATAATATATACAGGCACCAGAAAAGAAAGACTCATAAATTGAACAAAAACATTTGCTTAAGATTTAAGTCAGCCACTATTTTTTTGGAGACTGAGTTTCCGCTCTGTTGCCCAGGCTGAGTGCCTGGACCAATCCCTCGCTCACTCGCACCTGACTCCTCCTGGGTTCTGCCTCAGCCCCCGAGTAGCGTGGGATTACTAGGTCGCATCCACCACTGCACTCGGCTTAACTCTCTTGTAATTTTTGCATTTTTCCCCATAGTTCGCCAGCCTTGTCTGAACTCCTGACCCTCAGTGACTCACCCGCTCCCTCCCTCCAACCGTGCTTACGATTACAGGCGTCGGCCCCGCGCCCGGCCTATAGTTCAGCCTTTTTCATGCCCTTCTCTCCCCCCCACCCACATCTCTCACCGATTTGCCAATGAAACGCCCTGCCAACCACTTAGGACTGTCTTTCAGACCTTAAAAAAAAGCACCGCACTGATGGACCCGGCCACCAGTGCCCGGCAGGGCTCCTGCGCCCAGACGAGCCTTTGCTCTCAAATCTGCCCGGCACTTCACAAGCAAGTGCACACAATAAAAAATGCCACAAATCATAAGGGCTCTAAAGCACGCTAAAGGCAGCACAGCGTCCATTCTCATGTTACGTGCCCCCCAACGAACTCGCAGCATTCAGACCCCGAACGGGGCTTTCAACTGGCCAGGTTTCCTCGCTAGTAGCGGGCTTGGGTGGCTTTGAAGAAAACCTTAAGAGCTTTGATAAGGGACTTGGTGCAGAAGCACACAAACGATGGAGGTGGGCCTGGCAAACGGCGAGGCATCTCCCTTGACAAACACAAAGCAGCTAAATGCAAGCTCTGCCGAGGAACCTATACCACTCCCAGAGATGCGGCCAGGAGCGTCTCAAGTACTCCTTCTGACTTACATTCACTGTCATCCCCCAGCGAACCTAACTTTTACAGTGAACTCAAAAATTCATCCCTGGATTTATGATATCGTGAAGGCTCCTGAAAGAGCAGGGAAATACAGTTTCACTTTAGGCAAATCATCTGGTGCGTAGCTGGAATCAGCAGCGAAGCAGGTTAGCGGCTGGCAATATTTAAGAACAGCCTCGTACCAATCCCCAGCGTCCTGGGTGGGGTGAGTGAGAACCTGTTCGACGCGATCGCGGCTGCGGGACAATGAGAGCAACGACAAAATGCTCACATTCAGCCCAGCAAGAAGAGCTTTGGTTGTCTGATGGGAGTGACGAGAAGAATCATAAAGTATAACCATGTATTGGCTACAAAGTAGCAAAACTTAGCTTAAAATTTTTAAGTAAACCGCTTTCTAGGAACGCGGTATTTCAGACCAACC